ATCTATCTATCTATCTATCTATCTATCTATCTATCTATCTATCTATCCACACATATTATTTTTTCCTTCCAACTACCCTAATACTGACAAAGGTCTCATGAGTTACAAATATCATCTTTCCATGCAGGAATGTAAACAGTTCAACCATAATAAGTCTCTTATGAATTTCTCTTTCCTGTTTACTTCTTCATGTTCTACTTGAGTCTTGTATTTGAAAATCAAATTTTTGATTCAGCTCTGGTCTTTTCATCAAGAATGCCTGAAAGTCCTCTATTTCACTGAATGACCATTTTTTCCCCTGAAGAATTACACTCAGTTTTGCTGGGTAGGTGATTCTTGGTTGTAATTCTATTTCCTTTGCCCTCCGGAATATTATATTCCATGCCCTGCGGTCCCTTAATGTAGAAGCTGCTAAATCTTGTGTTATCCTGATTGTGTTTCCCCAGTACTTGAATTGTTTCTTTCTGGCTGCTTGTAATATTTTCTCCTTGACCTGGGAACTCTGGAATTTGGCTACAATATTCCTAGGAGTTTTCCTTTGGGGATCTCTTTCAGGAGGAGATCAGTGGATTCTTTTAATTTCTATTTTGCCCTCTGGTTCTAAAATATCAGGGCAGTTTTCCTTGATAATTTCTTGAAAGATGATGTCTAGGCTCTTTTTTTGATCATGGCTTTCAGATAGTCCAATAATTTTTAAATTCTCTCTCCTGGATCTGTTTTCCAGGTCAGTTGTTTTTCCAATGAGATATTTCACATTGTTTTCTAATTTTTCATTCTTTTGGATTTGTTTTACAGTGTCGTGATTTCTCATAAAGTCACTGGCTTCCAATTGCTCTATTCTAATTTTTAAGGAAGTATTTTCTTTAGTAAGCTTTTGGACTTCCTTTTCCATTTGTCCAGTTTTGCTTTTTAGGGCATTCTTCTCCTCATTGGCTTTTTGGACCTCTTTTGCCATTTGTGTTAGGCTATTTTTTAAGGTGTTATTTTTTTCAGTATTTTTTTGGGTCTTCTTTAGCAAGCTGTTGACTTGTTTTTCATGATTTTCTTGCAAAACTCTTAGTTTTTCCTCTATTTCTCTTACTTGCTTCTTAAAATCCCTTTTGAGCTCTTCCAAGGCCTGGGAGTGATTCATATTTTTCTTGGAGGCTTTGGATGTAGGAGCTTTGGCTTCGTTGTCTTTTTCTGGTTGTATGTTTTGATCTTCTTTATCATATACTTTTTTTTGTGTGTGTGAGGCAGTTGGGGTTAAGTGACTTGCCCAGAGTCAACACTAGTAAGTAAGCTAGTAAGTGTTATGTGTCTGAGGCTGGATTTGAACTCAGGTCCTCCTGACTCCAAGGCCGCACTGTGCCACCTAGCTGCCCCTATCATATACTTTTCTTAAGGCAGCTTAAAATCTCTTAACTTGTTTGGTGTTTTTATATCTTGCCTGTTTACTCATATCAGGTTTGCAGTCTACTAAGACTGTCACATCTTTTTGATTTGACTGTTCAACCAGATTTGAATCCAGCTAAGTATATGTTCATCTAGCCCATAGGTGTCAAACTTGAGTCCTGTACAGTTCTGGAGTATAGTCCAAACCAAATTAAAATATAATTGGGAAATGTTTAACAGAACAAATAAAGATAAAGTAAAACATAGATAATGTTGTTTTTTAGTTTGCTAAGTTAATATACAGCCTGCAGAGATCCCTTTCTATTAGAGTTTGATACTGCTGGTCTAGTCTTCCACTTTTTAGCTTATCTACAAGAATCATGTTAAAGATTTCATCAGATTTCATAAAAACTTGGCTAAAATCTAGGTAAATTTTATCTTTAGTATTTCCCTGTTCTTCTGGTCTTCTGACCTGTCTGAAAAGGAAAATGAAGTTAAATCTTACATGATCTAGTCTTGATGAAACTATTTTGCTTGTTTTTGTGAGCCCTGCTTCCTTTAAGGTTCATTAACCATGTTTTTACTGTATTAATATAGAATCCAACCTCCCCTTCCCCACCAAGGAATTGAAGCCTAGCTTACTGGTTTATAGTTAGCAGACTTTGCTTCTGAGGTATAGTTTTGGTTCTGCTATTAACTTTAACTTTCTGGCTGTCGGGAAATAAGTAATATTACTTCTCTGTGCCTCAACATCCATACCTAGGAAATGGAGCTAATAATTTTCTTGCAGAATAAAATGCGATGTGTTTGCATATTCAGAAATTAAAAGCACAGTTCAAATATTTTTATAGTATTATAATAGCATAATATAGCATGATATATATGTTATAATGTAGCAAATTAAACTTCAAGTTTGATTAAATTATTGAATTTTTTGATTAAATTAATCAACTAATTAATTAAAGTTGATTTGTTCTCATGTAATAGTCATCTTTAATTAAGTTCTGGGACACAGCATAAGGCATAGGACAGTGGAAAAGGAGTTAGTAGACCAAGATTCAAAACCTGTCTCGGACAGTTACTGCTTATATTATCTTAAGCAAGTCACTTAACATCTCTAGGACCTGTTACTTCATCTTTTAAAATAGGAGCAATTAAACTAAGTAGACTTCAAAGTTCTTTTGTGCTCTGCATTTATAATCCAAAGTAAGACTGAAAGGGTCATAAATAGAGTACAGTGTGAATGAAGGTTTCTAAGTCACAGGTGCAATTCTGTTTTGAATATTCTTATCTTTATTTTCAGCTCCCAGTTGTGGCATTTAATGTGAACAATCTGCCATTTACGGAATCCATGCTCTCTGTCTGGGCTCAGTTGGTCAACTTGGCAGGAAGTAAATTAGAAAAACACAGAATCAAGAAGTCTACTAACCAAGGCCTCACAGGTTAGTATATTTTCTCTTCAATTCAGAAGATCCAATCAAATGCTGATTGAGCAGGGTGGTGTACGTAAGAGGGGAATTTGGAATTTGGAAGCAAAGATGAAGTGTGTTTTAAAAAAAAAAACACACCAAAAAACTAGACCTTTTCATTATGACCAGTAACCGTTACTGATTAATTGTCAGGCTCATGACTCTGTGTTTTGTGATAATGAATTTTTATGAGTTAGATTATGCCAGTAAACCATAGCACATGTGCTTTAGGCTAACAGTTGCATGTAGTCCTTCTCCAGGGTAGCAAAGAGCAAACAAATTTGTTCAGCTTAAGTATCTGTAGTTAAAATTTGAACTGTTATTTTTATTATTCAGGCTTCAAAAGGCATATTCTTCTCTGTATCTCCTTCCTTCCCCACCCATTTAGAAAAGGTGTTGGGCAAAAATCCTCATGCAACTAAATTTTTAATAATGGGCTCATGGTTGCTTTGTCTTTAGGCTTCTGAATCAAATTAGAAAATAACTGCATCCTCAGTTAGAAAGAGGTCCTGAGATGAGAGGAGGTAAAATAAGCCAAATATATTTTTAGCTTTCACAGATCCGTATGTGTAGAATTAAATGAATTGCCCATTGGGATAAACTTACATCATGCCATAATATGTAGAGAACTTAATGAACTTGGAGTCAGGAAGACCTGAGCTGAAATCCTACCTCAGACTCTTATTAGTTGTGTGACTCTGGGCAAGTGACTGTTTGCCTTAGTTTCCTATTGTTAAAAATGAGTGGGCTGGACTTGACAGCCCTTTCAGCTCTAAATTGGTGGCCTTATGGTTAGATAGGTTTTGCATGAGGATTTTTCCAGTATTGACTCTTACTTAAAAATGAATCTCCTGATAAAGATGTATTTTACTTAAAAAAAATCTGAATAATCCGATGGGCATAATTTGATGAATTAAAGAAATGAAGTACTTACAAATGTGAGTAGGCAATTAATAGGGGACATACATTCATTTTATCTTTTTTTGGAAGAATGATTTTTGCATTATCCTTACTGGTAAATGATTCAAAGAGCTTGCTTTAGTTAAAATATTTTTTACCCATTTTTTTATACCAAATAGGAAAAATATTCTCCTTAATCATAGATCTAAGAACATGGAGCTTTTCTGTAAAAATAGTCAGATTAATACTTTATTCTGTGATAGGATGATTCTTATTTTCCTTACAAGGAACACAGCTGACTTAGAGAATCATTTTTCTGCTGTAGTAAGCACAAAGAGAAAAAATGTGCTTTGGTATGGATTTTCTGTACATAGAAACATATCTGAACCAGAAGCTTGCACATCAGTGTGAGAGGGGCCATGGAGTCATAATGTTGAGTCATGATCGTCCATTGGTCTATAACCTTAACTCTTTTTATCCTCTTCATTTATGGATCACACTTTCTTCTGAAGACTTAGGGCTTCAGAAATGCATGGGTCTAATGGCAAAATGCAAAGCTTCTCTCCCTAGGGATTGGGGGTAGGTAGTAATATGTTCTGATTTGTCCGTTTGGTGTGGTGCCCAGAGATATTTCCTTAGATTTTTGTGGCACTCCTAGGATCATCGATTTAGATCTGAAAGGACCCTCAGAGGCTCTCTTGTTCAACTCCCTCATTTTGTACATGAGGTAACTGTCCCAGGAAGGTTAAGTAACTGCTCCAAGATAACACAGGTATGGAGAGGCTAAGGCCAAGGTAGATTCTGATGGTAGGACTTAAAGCTGCAGAGCCACTGTACTTTCTTCCCATATGGTGGCTGTTTGTCTCTACTTGCTGCAGTATGAGGCTTTTGACTGATCAGGTCTTTGTATTATGCATATCCAACAGGTTTTTGTCAGTATTGTAAATGGAGAGACCAAATATTATGTTTATAAGATTACTGGAAGACCCTCCAAAATGTCTAATCATTTGTGAAGCTTTTGATGTAGTATGTTGTACTTTTCTGATGACTCTTGTTTTCTATAGGACAAGTAGACTTGGACTTGCTAAGATGCCAACAATTGAAATTATACATATTGAAAGCAGGTCGAGCATTGCTTTCACATCAGGATAAACTGAGGCAGATCTTGTCTCAACCAGCTATACAAGAGAATGGAGTCATCTCTATAGGTATCTTATTTTCAGATCTTCTTAGAAAAATTAATATGCATTTTTTGCCAGCTTGTTTTTATTCATGAAAATTAGTCCAGAGAAATGTTTTCTTTTTAACAAATTGAAAATGGCAGGTTTGGAACTAAAGTGAAGGCAGGTAGTCAGTGATCATTTGTTTTTAATGTTTGCTATGTGCTGAGCATTGTGCTAAATGCTGATAATAGTGTAAATCACCTAAGGTTCTTTTCTTGTTAAAGTACTGAGAAGTACTTCTTGTTAATTATTTTAAAATTTAATTCAGGCATTATTTATTGGGCAACTATTATTTGTATGGCACTGTGCCAGGTAATAGGAGGGAAACAGAGATATAAGATAATCTTTGAGGAATTTTCAGTTTAGTAGGGCAAGTAAGTATAGGCTTTCTTAAAGTTGGAGGAACCATTAGAGATTATTTAGTCCAACTCTTGTATTTTACAAATGAAGAAATTGAGATTTGAAGAGGTTTAAATGACTCTTCCAAGAATCAGCACTGAGTGATAGAGCTGGGATTTGAATCCAGTTCTTCAGTTATCTAGTCATTCCACTACTATATTATCTATCTCCATATTGCAAGAAATAACATAAGAATTATCACGATAAAGGTGTGAATAATAATAGCTGAAATGTATGTAACACTTTAAATTTTGCAAAGTTCTTTACATACGTTTTCATTTGAGATACAGAGTGCCATGAAATTTCAGCTGAGGGGGAAATCATTTCTGGCTAGTGGAGATCATACACATTTTCATGGTACAAGTGGCTTTTGAGCTGGCCCTGTAAGGACAGCTATCGTTTCAGCAGGAAGTAGAGGAAAGGACATAGTAGAGGTAGAAAGGTATAGAATCAGAAAAGTATATGACAAGTTTAGGAAATGAGAGGTGGTTCAGATTGGTTATAGCTAGTAAATGTGTAGGGAAATAGGTGATGGGGCTAGATCAGAAAGGACTTTGAATGCCAAGCTAAGAAGTTATTTGATTGGTCACTTGGAGATTTTGTTTGGGGGTCATATGATTAGGCTTTGTTTAGGAAGATTATTCTGTCAGGGATTTGTTTGTTTAAGGTAAATTGGCGTGGAAAGAGAGAAAGTGTGTATGTTGGGAAACCAGTTAATGGAAATATTAAAATAGTCTGAGAGGCCATGAGGGCTTGAAGTAATGTTGCATAGCAGTAGAAATAGAGATCAATTTTTGTATTCTCCGTACACAGAGCCTCACATATAAATACACCTAATAAATACTTACTGATTTGACTCAACAGACTTAACGTTCTATAGAGGGAGACAACATATGCATGTATACATATTTACAAAATAAATATATAGAAGACCATTTTTTGAGGATCAGGAAAAGCCTTGTGTAGAAGGTACCAGTTAAATTGAATTTTGAAGGAAACAAGGGAGTCTGAGAGGTGGAGGTGAATGTGAGATTGAGAAGCTAAAAAGGCAAAACTTGGCTACTGGCTGGATTGGAGCAAGACTGAGATTTTCTGCCCAGGTGAGCATTTGCTGGAATGCTTATGGCATACATGTAGGGCTAAAGGGACCTCAGAAGCCATCTAGTCAACTCCTCATTTTATAGATAAATGAGGAAACTTAAGCTCAGGGTGTGACTTGGCTAAAGTCACATAGGTAGTAAAGTCACATAGATCAGAGGCAGAATCTGAATCCAGGTTCTCTGACTCCAGATCAGGGCTGTTTCCATGCATTGGGCTGGTGTGAAATGATGCTGGCTTTGAGATGTTTCATTTGAAGTACTTCAGTTGCTTCTAGGGGAAGATGTCTAGTAACCTTTTGGAAATAAAGGACTAGAATTTAGTCAAGAGATTAAAGACTAGATTTTAAGACTTGAGAGGTATTCTCTTCTCCCCCTACCCCCCAACTGCAACTGCCCTTCACCCCAACCCCCCAGTGGAAGTGATGATTGGATTCCTGGGAGTAGAAGAGAAAAGAACAGTGAGGAAAGAACCTTGGGAATATCTGTATTTTGGAAAAAGGAGGAGGGGAATAGGAATTGTTAAAAGATATCAGTGAATGAGAAGGTTTCTTTCAAGTAGTGTATATTATTTTACATGTATCCTTATTCTTTGTATTTTTAGTTGCATATCCTCAAAGAATAGATTAATTGGAAATCATAGCTCAATGACAGTTTATATTCTTTGATTATGTGAATGTATGTTTCATATTTAGTAGAATTTCAGTTGGAGAACATTGATTATTCTTTTAACATCCATGATGTGCTTTAAAATTCAGATGATGGAACAGCAGCATCCCCTGATATTGGAGATATGTCTCCTGAAGGGCCTCAACCTCCAATGATCCTCTTGCAGCAGTTGTTGACATCTGCCACACAGCCATCACCTGTAAAGGCAATATTTGACAAACAGGAACTTGAGGTATAATTATGCAACCCGATTAATTTTTATTACACTGTATTAAGAAAGTGAAGCTATTTCTTCATAGTGTATATTTTTTCAAGTATAATTCTAAGGTAGGCCTGCACACCATATGGCCCGCTATAGGATTTTGGGCAGCTGTCACGTGACCTGTGACAATCAACCATCATCAGTCTGTCTTTAGTCTATCCTGTCTGCAGCCTGAAGAAGTTTAGCCTATTTTAATTTTGGCCTCTACCTACTGCCAGGTTGTGCAGGTCTCCTCTAAGGTCACAGTGTTTTTTCATGATACACTGAAACTTTTGCAAAACTAGCTTGGAAAAATGAGATATTTGGTAGCATTTTCATCTGCCCTTTTAAAAAAATGACAATTTTATTTCAGCATTAGAAATTTAAACACAGTAATACTGTACAATACTTGAGAAGTTAAAAAAAACAAGCACCATGTCACCTTGGTTCTGTTCCATTGCTACCACCATTTGCCAACAGGCAATCACAGCGTCATGAAACTTATGTGAAAACCAGGTTTATTGTTGTTGTTTGTCCTTGGGACCTTGACATCAGGAGGGTGATGTCATAACTTGCAAATGAATTGGTTGTAAGTGAGACAGAGCTGTGCAAAGTCATCTTACTCTCTCCTCCACTGAGTCCAGTAGTGAGATATAGATCAGGACTGGAGATGGCTCAGGATGCAGTGGGAGATGTTGGCCTTTTTAAGCTAAAGTCTTTGTCTCAGTTTGTCTGAGGTGACACCCATTCAGTGATTAAGGCCAGGTAAGAAACAAGACAAAGGGGACAGCTAGGTGGTGCAGTGGATAGAGCACCGGTCCTGAAGTCAGGAGGACCTGAGTTCAAATCTGGCCTCAAGCCAAACACTTAACACTCACTAGCTGTGTGATGCTGGGCAAGTCACTTAACCCCAATTGCCTAAAAATAAAAAAAATTTAAAAATTAGAAAAACAAACAAGACAAAGAATGGCCTCTTTTACCTAATCCCAAAAATCAATCTGAGAGGGAAAGACCCTCAGGATTTCTGGCCAAAACAGAAACAATTGCTATTTACACTCATTCTGAGTTTTGGGAGCCCAAACAATGACCAAATGGGGCTTGGGCTGGGACCTATTGTTGGCCAGTCAATGAGAGCCAGAGGGATTTGGGTTTAAGGCATGGTCCTTAAAAAGAAATCTTGTCGTAAACCCCAATGTTTACCCCTTGTGAGGTTTCAGCAGTCAAAATTTATATTCCTTTGGTTAGAGCACCTGCCGGTAAGGGTATGATTCCCTGTGTGGTTGGAGGGAGGGAGAGGAGGAAGGGAGAGAATTATATATCATGACTCTCAGAGAATAATTATGTATAAGAATATGTATAAGAATATCATTGTCATCAGTTTATAGCATGACTTTACAATATTCATTTCTAATGCTTATCACCAAATGGTGGGTTTTTTTCTCCCTTTGGATAGGCTGCTGCTTTGGCTGTGTGCCAGTGTTTGGCTGTGGAGTCGACCCATCCATCCACTCCAGTGTTTGAAGAGTGTAGTTCTAGTGAGGCCACAACACCTGTCACAGTACAGCATATTCGACCTGTAAAAGTAAAAAAGCGAAAACAGTCTCCTATTCCTGCTTTGCCTATTGTAGTACAGCTCATGGAAATGGGATTTCCTAGGAAAAACATCGAATTTGCATTGAAGTCTCTTACTGGAAGTGCTTCTGGGTTACCAGGTATTGCTTTTTTATATGCAATTATTACATTTGTATATAGAATTAAGTTTAGATGTCAATGTAATGACAGCAACTTTCCTTAATTTTTGTTAATATTATAAAACATTAAAGTCTGTATGAACTAATACTATATATGTACTTTTTTTAAGGTGTGGAAGCCTTGGTTGGTTGGTTGCTGGATCATCCTGATGTACAAATTACTGATCTCTCAGATGCTGATACAGTCTCTGATGAATATTCAGATGAAGAAATAGTGGAAGATGTGGAAGAGACTGAGGCATCTTACCCTGTGGTTAGTATGTGGGGAGGCAATGTGGTATCATGGAAAGGCTTCTTTGTTTGAATTCAGTGAACCTGGGTTTGAAACCCAGCCCTCCTGCTTACTATTGGTATGACCTTGAGCAAGTCACTTAACTTCTCCCAGCCTCATTTTGCTTATTTGTAAAATGAGTTTAGAATAGATTACCACCCTCTCAGGAACTTTCCAGTTCAGTATCTATGATTCTGTAATCTTTCTTAAAAGCTGAATCAGTAATTGATTTTAACATTATTTGGGTAACTTAAACTTGCAAAAAAAAAAAAAAAGATAACAGAGTTTAATGCTAAACATATTATTTTGTGTTGACTGATTGTTTTGTTTGTTAGATTTTTCCCCCCAATTAGATTCACTCTTCTATTTTAATTTTGGCCTCTACCTACTGCCAGGTTGTGCAGGTCTCCTCTAAGGTCACAGTGTTTTTTCAACTTGAGAAGAGTGAAAAAGTCTTGTACTTTAGTTTTGTCCCAGCATTTAGTAAGGTGATGGATATATAGTAATATATCAATAAATATTTGATTTTTATTTTCCTTGTCTAAATGGGAGTGGTTGTAGTAATGTCTAATGAGAAATAAAGGGCTTTAGCCACAGAGATATAACTCTGTTCCTATGATTATCTGACATTCTGGCATTAAATATGTTGAAATGAATATTGTCCTTATTTTCTGTTCTGGATAGCTTTTATCTTAATGATCACTTTGAGGCCAATTCAGGAATTTTAGATATTTGCAATTTCCTAGATTCAATTCTAGAAATGATATTGACAGTTGTCAAAATGTAAATGTGATTCTTTTCACTATGTAGAGTAATATTTGGGGTTAAATACCTTTAAATTTTTCTTTTGGTTTTTTGTTTTAGTCTAGTTGTGCTGTTGTAACGGAGAGCCAAACTTATAAAAAACGAGCTGATTTCTTAAGTAATGATGACTATGCAGTATATGTTAGAGAAAACATTCAGGTGAGTGTGTTTTTAGGCTCCAGATTATTGGATATTGGCTTGTGTGAACCATTCAGTTCATATAGCTATGATTGGATATGCTCTCTTGGTTTTAATTTAGGTAGGAATGATGGTTAGGTGCTGCAGAACATATGAAGAAGTTTGTGAAGGAGATATAGGTAAAGTGATTAAATTGGACAGAGATGGATTACACGACCTCAATGTGCAGTGTGATTGGCAACAAAAGGGGAGTACCTATTGGGTTAGGTATATCCATGTTGAACTTATAGGTAAGGGCAGTTTTCAGTAAATTCTCTATGTATTTTACTATGAAGAAAAATATTTTTAGAAACAAACATAAGCAGTGTGTTTGTCTGGTTGAAATTCTTAGGTTTCCCACCACAGAGTTCTCCTTCCCATATCAAGATTGGTGATAAAGTTAGAGTGAAAACATCAGTAACCACACCAAAATACAAATGGGGATCGGTTACTCATAGAAGTGTGGGAGTTGTAAAAGGTAATGTATCTATCCATTTGAATAATATGCAAAATATTAGTTTTCCATCATTACATACCATGTTTTATAACTAGAAAAATCTGTGACCCCCAAGTGCTAAGTATTAAAATAGCCATATTTTCTCGTGGGTTTTTTTTTTTGTGTGTGTGTGCATGTGTTATAAAATCTGGATGCTGCTTCTATACATAAACATTTGTGCAATTGGATTAGTTAATTGGTAGTAAAAATGTTCCATTTCATTCTTTAGTGAAAGCAGTAACATGTCAACAAATTACCCTTACTCTCAAGAGCTGAAATTTTGAAGAACTTTAGCAGTGTGAAGTTATTAAAGATTGCAGAAGAAATTTTAAAATACTAATATCTTTTTCCCCTCTTAATTTTGAACTCGTAAGTTTATTGTCCTATTTTGAGAAATTTTCGTATAATTTTCTTTTTAAGTGCTTTATAGAATTAGTGTCAAACCTGTAGTGACAAATGGAGAAGAGGAAGGAGATTTAAGTTAATATTTCTGAAAACTGGATAAAATACTAAATTACTTACTTTTTCTTTTAAAATGTCTTTCTTTCCTCTTCTTAAAATTATCACAAATTTTGCTGGTTTTAAGAATGAGATCATTTTAAACATTCTCACACTGAAAGGTGACAGTGCAAAGATTTTGTTTTTAGTTAATATTTTTGTATAGTAAGATACTCTTGCTGTGGTTGTGGTGGGGTTATTTCTTAGGTATTAATGATAGGGTGTACGTAAGTATAATAAAAATGTTTATGACTAAAGTTACAGCTTTAATTTTAAAGTCTTTTTGGTAACTGATAAGTTTTTCATTTCCCCAACCAAGAAATTTCTGCTATGTTTTAGCTTTTAGTGCCAATGGAAAGGATGTCATTGTGGACTTTCCTCAGCAGTCTCATTGGACAGGATTATTGTCAGAAATGGAATTAGTGCCCAGTATTCATCCTGGAGTTACGTAAGTTTTGATTTTCTTACATTCATAAGAACATTAACATTGTGGAGCAGTGGTTGAACTTTTCTAAAGGGGTTCCTAACCTTTCTTGTGTCATGAACCCCTTTGTCATTTTGGTGAAGCTGGCAAACATAGCTTCTCAGAATGTTTTAAAATGAGTAAAGTAGATATATAAGACTCCAAAGGAAACTAAAGGTCCCAAGTTCTTGGGTCCTTTGAAATCTCTTTACCTTGGTGATCTGTGGATTACAGATCAAGACCCTCATTTTTTATAACAAATTGGGACTGCTTATATTTATTCATTTGTCATCTTTTAAATAATAGAATTTGTCATATATTTTCAAATTGTTAGGTGTGATGGCTGCCAGATGTTTCCAATTAATGGACCTCGTTTCAAATGCAGAAATTGTGATGATTTTGACTTTTGTGAAACCTGTTTTAAAACCAGGAAGCATAATACCAGACATACTTTTGGCAGAATAAATGAACCAGGTATGTCAAGTGAGAGTATCTCTATGATTTTCTTCCAGCCAGAATGTCAATAAATATCTCAATTAGTATACTTCAATGACTGTTTGAAAAATGCAGAATTATTGAGGAAATAGGAAGATTAACTTTTACCAAATCACCTTATGTCTGTTCTCAGAAATTTAAACTAAAAAAAGATTTTCAATGTTAGAGAAATAAAGATACCAAACTGTGGTGTGGTCAAAAACATCAAGGGAAAAAATTATGGAGAAGACAGCTATCAAATACACAATATATATTCAAATGAATTTAATCACTTGAATATCAGCAATGTAAATAGTTAATGGTTCATCTCTATAGTTGCTGTTTTGTTCTAAGATTCAGCAATGTGAAAGGGAGTTGGGAGATAACACACTTATATACCATATATACTTATATTATTTTTAATATATATACCAGTCAAAATAGATTGAATCGTACAGGGGACTAGAAAGAACATTAGATTGAGAATCAGGAAAAACCTAGGTCTAGTCTCCAACCTCCTTGCAGTAATTTTATTTCTTTAGGCAAGTAAATGAATTTCTGTAAATGAGTGTTTGATAGACTAGATAGTGAAGAGAATCTTTGCAGTTTTAACATTTTCTTTGATAGTTAATTATTACCTGTAACTTATAGGTACTTGAGTATATGCGGTTCTATTGTTTTAACAGAACAGCTTTGCATATTTTTATTTTGAGAAAGCACAAGTTATTTCTCATTTTTGCACTTGCCATCTTGCACTTATTCTTTTTGGCTTAGAACCATGTGGTTTTTATAGTGGTAGTCGTTGTAAAAACCTGAGAGAAATGAGTAGGCATCCATGATGTAACTTGGATATATAAATGTGATTGGTTGTGTAAAGGAATAGTGTTGCTACCACTTTTTCAATTTCAGAATGTGGGAGCATCAAATTTATCAAAATAAGACCCTTAATTATAAAAGCTTTTTCTAAAGCCCAGTGATTCACAGGATAATACTATTTATGTACCTGACTATTCATTTTATGTTGAACAGGTCAGTCTCCTGTATTTTGTGGGCGTTCTGGGAAACAGCTGAAACGCTGTCACAGCAGTCAGCCTGGAATGCTCCTGGATAATTGGTCAAGAATTGTTAAGAATCTCAATGTGTCCTCATCAGTAAATCAGGCTTCTCGCCTGATTGATGGCAGTGAACCATGCTGGCAGTCTTCTGGGTCACAAGGCAAGGTAAGTGGAAACAGTTGTGAATTATAGTTCTGCTTTTTCAGTTAATTTAAGTTTTTAAAATGAACTTGAAAGGAATTGATTAAGACCTTCTAGTACATACTCATTTTGAGAATATCTGGAAAAAAATCTATTGGAATACAGTATAATAGAGTTCTCTTTAGAGTAAATATGCTTATTTGTCTAATGTATTTGCAAAAAAATATTCATGGCATCGACCATTTTTCTTCTTCCAAGACATGGCCATAGAACTTTGTGCATAAATTCAAATATATATTATTTTCACCGATGAAGGAAGTGTATCAATCAAAAAGCAATTATTAAGCACCAGTACCATGTGCCAGGTACTACAGTAGGCACTTAGGATGCAATTACCCGAAAAAGAAGCCATACTTACTTTTATGGAACTTACATTCTATGTAGACATCATGTATATGTATAGTAGTTTTTCCACTCTCAGGATGTCTTCATTGGTCTTTAGCCAGGGCCAACATTTCATGAGGGACCCCAGTGAGACTCACTTTACTCCCAGTTTGACTCTGAACTTTTACACCTCCACGCCAGCAGCCTTATCCTCCCCTTCTGCCTTGCAACCTTCTCCCCTTGCCAGGTTTCCTTTCCTTTTTTTACCTTATTAGAAGGTTTGCCTGGCACATAGTAAGAACTTAATAAATTATCTCTTTCTGTCTATCTTTATATCTTTCTACTACAGAAAAATCACTTATTTAGCTTCGGGGTGCTTTTCTATTTACATTTAAATATGAATATGTCCAATCTGTAAACTTCAAAACAAAAACTATGAAACTGAATGAGAACAACAATTTAGAACTGAGCTGATTTTCAGACTAGTGCATAGAGATAGCCTAGACTGTCATCTATTAAACCTGAGTAGAGATTTTGGAATTGATTTTTTAAAAAAATGTCTAGACTATTTATTAACCAAGAATAATTTTTTTTTTTAAGCATTGGATTCGACTGGAGATTTTCCCTGATGTTCTTGTTCATAGACTGAAAATGATAGTAGATCCTGCTGACAGTAGCTACATGCCTTCATTAGTTGTAGTTTCAGGTAATTGAATCAGATCACTGGACAAAGAAGTCTTCTCTTTCAGATTATAAAATCCATTTCTCTGATTCTTTTATTTTTTTCTTTAGGTGGGAATTCCCTAAATAACTTAATTGAGCTAAAGACAATCAATATTAACCCAGCTGACACCACAGTGCCTCTTCTAAGTGACTGCACAGAGGTAGGTGCAAGATCTTAAACAAGAAATCACTCTTTTATAATTCAACAGTTCAAACTGTTTAATGCTTTCAGTTCCATATTAGTGTCTAGTCTCTTTTGTTCCATTTTTATTTTTTTCTTGATGATTCAGGGTTAGATAATGTCATCTTAGTATATTATCTTATTATTTTATGCTTGTAAGAAATTACAATTGTAAATTTTCAGGTAATCTTGAGAAAAACATCCATAACAAATTTATTTTTATGCTTTTAAGAAAAATTATCTTTGTTAAAAATCTCTTAAAAGGCAGTTGTACCTTGGGCATAGCAGCTGCTTAATAAATATTTGTTCTTTAATTTGTTTAATTTGATCCTCTGACTTTGTGCTTATGGGAGTCAAATTGGTATTCACATAATCCAACTCAATTATGTTGCTTCTGCAGTTGCACTGTGTGGTTTCAAGTGATTAGTTGCTTTTATTCTTGATCCTATGGATTTAGTTTTCCAAGTAACCTTGACATAGTATGTATTATGTTTAGACATTTAATAAAAAGTTTATTGTATACAGTCCTTGTATATTCTGTGAAAAGTTTACATAAGACCACTTTGAGTAATACTATAGTTGTTTTGTGAAAGAGGAGATATTTTTACTTCCCTGAAATAAATGATCTGATGAACTTAGCTGATTAAAAACTATACACAAAAGAACACTGGTAGAGTTCTGTAATAGCTGTTTTGCTTTTCTGTCTGCTGCATTTGACACTAGTGATGACCCTTTCCTTGATACTGTCTCCTCTTTGATTTTTGCCACGCTATTTTTTTTAAATACACTCTTCTTTCCTGGTTTACCTCATATCTTATCATTGCCCCTTCTCAATTTCCTTTGGTGGCTAAACATCCACATCTCATATTCTAAATGTAGTCTCCAAGGTTCTGTGTTAGGCCCTCTTCTCTTCTCATCTATCCTCTTGGTAACCTCATCCCCTCCAGTGAATTTAATGATCGTCTTTATGGTAATTAAATCTGTGTGTCTTTCTATCTGTATATCTTTCTATCTATCTGTCTGTCTGTCTGTCTATCTATCTATCTATCTATCTATTTATCTATCTGTCTGTCTGTCTGTCTGTCTATGCCTATTCTCTTCGCCTGAGCTTTAATACCACCAATTTTCTAATGGATATTTCAAACTTAAGTCCCAGAGATATCTCAAATTCTGCAAGTTCAAAATTGAATTCATTATCTGTTCTCCTCCTCTCCCTGCTGTCCATCTTTCCTCCAAACTTGCCCATTTCTGTCAAAGGCACAACTATTACTTTACTCTCATTGTAGTCTTAACCTAATAGCCATTTAAATTTGACACAGTCCTCTCCTCTCAAATCCCTTGTTGCCATACTTCAGGCTTGAATTAATCTCACTATCTATCTTTTTCAGTCCTACTCACTAGCTGCTGAATGCAGCTAGAGAAAGTCTTACAACTCTGTTGACTGTTGACTAGGTACCTTACAAATCTGTGTTATCCAACCTTAACTGGACCCTCACTACATTAAGGAAATCCCTTTATTTCTCCTTAGTTTATTTTCTTTATCACTCCCCACAGAAACTGTTCAAGACCTTTTCTACTCTTCTCAATCCTCTCATAGCCCTGTCTCATTCCTTCTCTCAGCTGAAGTCCTTACTTCTTACTTTACTAAGAAAGTTGATCATTTGACATGAGCACCTTTTTTTCCTCATTCTTTTAAGCTTAAAACTCCTTGACATCATCTTCCTGACATTCTTTCTCCTATTTACCCAGTCTTTTGACAATGAGGTGTTCCTTCTCTTTGCCAAAATCAACACTTATGCATATGTACTAATCCTGTTCCCTCTTTGTCTTCTCTAGTACATTGCATCCTCAACCATCCCTGCCCTCCATTTTCAACCTCTCCCTTTCTATTGGTTCGTTCTCTGTTGCTTTGAGACATGCCCAAGTCTCCCTTATTCTTCAGTCCTTACAATCCTTTCAAACTATTGTCCTATATCATTCATCCCTTTCTTAGCCAAACTCCACTCCATTCTCACTATTCTACAGTCTGGTTTTTGACCTCATCACTCAACTGAAGCTGTCTTTTCCAGTGTTATCAGTGATTTGCCAAATCTAATGATTTTTTTCTCAGTCCTCATCCTTTTTAATATGTCTGTTGCATTTGGTACTACTGACCACCTTGTCCTCCTGCATGTTTTCTCCACTTTGGTTTTTTTATGACAGTACTTTTTCTTGTTTCTCCCTAAACCAGTTTGACTGTTCCTTCTCAATCTCCTTTGCTATCTTGTTATCTGTAACACACCCCCTTTATGTGGATATTGTCCAAGTTACAGCCTTAGATCATTTTCTCTTCTTCCTTTTTACTCGCTCAGTAAACTCATCAGCTCCCATAGGCTTAACTATCTTCTCTGTGCAGATACCTCACAGATTTATATATCAAGCCGTAGTCTCTGCTCAATTTTCCAGTTACCAGTAGATGGATGTCCTGGATACCTCTCATTCATTTTGTCTAAAACTGAAATCATTATCTTTATCTTCAAATCTTCTTCTCTTCCTAACTTCCATCTGTTCTCCCAGGTGCATAACCTCAGTATTATCCTAGGCCCTTCATTCTCCTTCATCCTATGAATCCAGTAAGTTGCCAAATTTTGCCAATTTTACTTTTACAACATCTCTTGCATCTGATCCCTTCTTTCTATTCATATAGCTACCACCTTAATTCGGACCCTCATTAATTCTTGCTTAGATTATTGCTGTAACCTTCTAATTAGGCTCCTTGACTTGATTTTCTCACCATTCTAGTCTGTCCTGTACCCTGCTGTCAAAGTAATTTTCCTTATATACAGGTCTGACCAAATTTGAGGTGTTTCTTATTGCTGCTAGGATAAAATAAAAACTCTCTTTAGCTTATAAATCCCTACACAACCTGGCCCCAACCTATATCAATAGCTTTATGAATCCCACACTCTGCCGTTTAGCGATACTGGCCTTCTTTCTGTTCCTTATGTACATAATTTCCTGTATCCATGCAGTTGCATTGGCTGACCTCCTTGGCAGTGTGTATTGATTGAATGAATAATGAATAAATTGAATCCTACTTTAAAAGATAGACCTTACTAAAGGAAGGATATTTTCATTTCACATAATGCCTTATACTTAAAAAAAAAATTGTTTCAGCTTTCCAAATATGCCTTAAATTAGATTTCTTTTCTCTTTCCAGTCATTTATTTGGAATATATTATGTAAATCTATATAAAAATACTATGGCTAATTAAAAAAATTATTTAGTATCACAGGTATATTGAGGTTGCCATAAAGCAATGCAGAAGCTCAGGAATAGATTGTAAAATTCATGGTCTTATTATACTGGGACGAATTCGGGCAGAAGATGAAGATTTGGCTGCTGTTCCTTTCTTAGCCTCAGATAATGAAGAAGAAGATGATGATAAAGCTAACACTGGGAGGTAATATATTTAAATAAATTTGTCATTGGAATTCTAAGCCAGATTTTAGAAGAGGTATTAGATATTTTATCAGTCTATCTAATATTTAGAGAAATGCTTCATAAATATGCAATACATGTGTGTCATTCAGACTTACATGCCAGTTTTATTAAGCAGTGTTTTATTGTCATATTTTTCACCTCTCAGAGTGAAGATATCTTCTATAGCATATTTTCTTATGCTTAAATATGCTTTTGGGAACATCTTTAGGCATTTAGTTGAATAAATGAATGAATAAAAATTCTTACTGGCAAAAGTGTTGTTACAAACAACTATGTAATATTGCCATTCCCTTTAAGAGTCCATGAACTGTTTGGCCGTATCCATGTTGTTGTCCACTAGTATAAGAGTAGAAATTGAGGAGGAAAGGCAGTTGATGACTTGATAAATGGAGGGTAGTGGAGAATGACATGGGGGCCAGTAGATAGTACTGACCATTATTTGAATAAGGTGGAAAATGTTGATACTGTAAATTTCAAAGGAGTAGGGTTGCTGAGCATTTGCAGAAAAGATTGGCTCTGAAAATGGTACTGGGGAAGAAGGAATATTGCACATCCTCCTATAAGACCAATAGGTCAGGAGTGCAATTGAAGGTACAGTTGACAAGGATGTAGTGTCATCTGGGGAAAGCCTGATTTCAGTGATAACAAATAGATGGAAGAAGTGTGTGTGTGTGTGTGTGTGTGTGTGTGTGTGTGTGTGTGTGTGTGTAAAAGAGAGAGAGAGAATTTCATAGAGGAGACACCATGGTAGTAGAGGCTTGAAGGAAGAGAGTGTGCAGTGGAAAGACCATTGATTTGCAGTTAGAGGACTTGGGTTCAGATCTTATCTCTGATAGCTCCAACCTGTATGATACTGAGCAAATCACTTAATCTTTATGATTCTTAATATCCTCATATGTAAGATGAGGTATTTCCTAGATGGACTACCAGCGAAGTCTTTTCCAGATCAGAATCTATGATTCCCTACACCCCTTAATCCATTCATTTGCTAAGTCTTGGATCTGCTTACACAATAATTCTGGCAAATATCCCCTTCTTTCTAGGCACATGGCCATTGCTCTAGTTCAGTCAGTTATCACTTCTCATTTGAACTATTGTACTAGCCTCCAGTTTGTCTCTTTCTAGTGTCCCTTTTTCAGTCAGCTCTCCACATAATTTCTAAGACTCAGGTCACTTCCTGGTCAAAATGTTCATAAATTCTAGATTAAAATTCAGATTCCTTGGCTGACATTTAAAGCCTTTCATGACCTGGTTCTAGCCTGTCTCTCCAGGCTTATTTTGCATTACTCCTGTCCATGCCCACTATGCTCCAGACAAACTGGCCAACTTAATGTTTCCTGAGTTCAGAACTCCCTCTCCCACCTCCCAGCCTTTGCACAGGCTGTCTCAGCTGTGTCCTGAATGTATTCCTTTTTTACCTCTATCTTTTAGAATCTCTAGTTTCCTTTGAGGCTCAACTTATGTGCCATCTGCTTTGTGAAACCTTTCTTGATACACCTCCTTCCACTGCCCATTGTCATTCTTTCTCCCCAAATTTCCTTGTATGTACTTTTTTGTATATTGTGAATATTGTACAAAGTACTCAATATAAGCACCTTGATGACAAATGCTCTTTGATTTTTGTGCCCTCAGTGCCTATTCTGTAGTAGGTGCTTGATACATGTATATTGAATTGAATTGAATTTCAATTTATGTTGTGGTCAGGGATAAGGGAGGAGTAAATAGCTACCTACCTCATTTGTACCTCAAGGCACAAGACATCTCTTCTTTGATACTTTTTGCATAATAGATCATAGAGCTGCATTGCATGTGCCTCCTTCTTTATGAGAAATGACCAAACAGAAAGATGATAGAGATTTTTTCAAGAAAGCAAGTTGTAGTTTCATAAATGATCAATCTCCATTCAAACATGCCTCCCATAACATCCATTTTACCTTATACCAATAATTATTGTTGAATGATGACCCTGAATCATCATTACCATTATTTGTGTAATGTCATATTGTTCATACTAGACTTTAAGTGTCATGATTGAAAGAAAGCTATCTTATTTTTTCTTTCATCCTCCACAGTGCTTGTATATAATACGTACTCATTCAGTAATTTGGTTGAATGAGAAAAAGGTTAACTTTGGTCAAGACACTTATTTTAAGTGTTCTGGTTTTGTGTCAAGTACAATCAAAATGAAAACGCTAACCCTTAGAAAGTTAACCCTTAAACTAGTGGGGAAAAAAAAATCATATAGGATTTATCTGGGAGGGCAGAGGGTGGACAGTGGTCTGGATGATCTCTGATAGGGCCAGAATTTTGCCATATTTACATAATGAGGGATTGGTGCAGGAAATCAATTTTGTTATTAAAGATAACTTATGTTATTTACCATGCTTCCCTCCTCCCTTTGCTTCCCCCACTCCTTCTCTCCTCCTATCTCTGTCTCTCTCTCTCTCTCTGTCGCTGTGTCGTTTAGTCTTATTAGGAAGAAAGCTTCTGGATTGGAATCAGCAGCTACAATAAGAACCAAAGTATTTGTCTGGGGGCTGAACGACAAGGATCAGTTGGGAGGATTAAAAGGTTCTAAGGTATTTGCTAGTATGCCTTAAAAAGATAAAATCAACAAAGGCTGTTTTCTGTGAAGCTATTATTTTGAGCTGTAAAATCTGTGACTATGCCTTGACATAAGGAAAATTTCTTTGTTCATGAGGGAATTTGATCTCTTATTAAAAGTGACTTGTTTATTCTTTTAGCATTCCTGTTCTACACAGAAAATTTTCTGAACTTATTAACATTTATTGGCATATGTTGAATTAATTTTTAAAAGCATGGCTCAAACATGGACATTATCCTTGTGTTCTTAGTATTGCCAAAACCTTAGCCATGGTGGTAAGTTGATGTAGTTGATGCTCCTGCCATTTAATGGCAAGGAAATAAAGTTGTGAGGCTCTTT